CCCCCACATAAACCCCAGAGCCGAGTGCAGAGAGAAGAAACCACTGTACAGTTTGTGGGAACACTGGCCCCACAATCTTCTTGGAAAGCGATATAGCGGCATGCAGAGTGACTTTATGAGCCTTTCTTCTAGGACTCCCCGTCCACATGAGAGGGCGTATATAGTACGTGCAGAATGTTTACTGCATCATTGTCTAACAGATACTACGGGGGGGGGGGGGGGCGAAGTTAAACGTTTTTGCAGTTATGGAATTCACAGCTTAAATATGGGAATCTCGGGCCAGTGAGAAGGTTCAGTGGTAAGGTTGTTTGTTGCTAAGCCCGGGTCTGATCCCAAGGACCCATCCTCTGACTCACGTGCCCACACACATACAATTACGCAAGATAAACACATGGGAAAAAGTTAAAAACTGAATCTAAGAAAACTCCAAATTTACCTTAAAGGGCTTGAACATATCGTTTTAAAAATTAAAGTAAAGCTGGGAATGGTCGTGTGGATCTTTAACCTGAGTACTTGGGGGTAAGGAAGGGCAGGCAGATTGCTGTGAATTCGAGGCCAGACTGATCAAAATAGAGTTCCAGGCCAGCCAGTGTTACCGTGAAACCCCTCCTCAAAGTAAGACATTAGAACAGTTATCTGAATAATAGATACAAACAACTTTCTCTTTTACTGACTCTTTAAATACTTAAGAACTTTTTGCTTTGAAAATATTAAGCTTACGGGTTCAGCTCAGCAGTAAAGTGTGGGCTTAAGGCACAAGCTCTTAGGTTTGTTCTACAGGTCATGAATAAACCAAAGCATTAAAAATGTCAACAAAGTCCTTCCGATTGGTACTGTCAGCCAGTTTTCAAGTAATTTGTCACGTATTTGGCAAAGGATCTAACTACACTACAAAACAATTGTTTTGCCCTATCCTGTTTTTGTCTTTTCTAATTGATAAGGTGCTGTTTAGGTAACAGGTTGGAGTTCCACTCTTGTCTTCGCTTAGCACTGTGGCACAGGCCTGTAGTCCTGGTAGTTGGGATGCAGATGCAGGAAGATCATGAGCTTGAGGCAAACCTGTGCTACATGAGATCCTGTTTCAAAACATGAAGGCTGGGAATGTAGTTCGGTGGCAGAGACTCTATCACGTTCAACGTCCTGGGTTCAATCTCTAGTACTAGAAAATACCTACACACGCCAAAAGCAAAACAACAGCAAAAAAGGTAGAGCCCTAAACTCCTGCCCTCAAGGAATCACCCTGGCAGCAGATTCAGACTGAGCAAAGTAGCCAGTAGGAGAAGGGCAGAGAAAAGAAAGTTAACATGTAAAGGGGAATAGACAGTTCCTTTGGCATTGTTGAAACATGGTCTCAAGTGGCCCACACCAGCTTTGAACTTGCTCTGTAGCTGAGAATGACCTTGAAATCCTGATCTTCTGACCTCCACCTCCTGAGGGGAAGACTGCAGGGGTATACACTATCCCCTGCTCTGGACTGCTGGCTCACGGGCCATGTGCCTCACAACTTAGAATATCTTGAATGTTTTGTTTATGTGTATGAGCCATAATCTAGTCCCACAGAGGTCTGAAGAGGGCCTCAGGTTCCCTGGAACTGCTGTTACAGATGGCTGTCAGACGCGATGTGGTGCTGGGAACCAGATCCCAGCCCTGAGGGAACAAGCACTCAGCTGCTGAGCCATCTAAAATGTCCTAGATCTATCTGTCTGTCTGTCTATTTATTTTGAGACTGGGTTTCTCTGGGTAGCCTTAGCTGTCCTGGACTCACTTTGTAGACCAGGCTGGCCTCAGCCTCCCAGAGTGCTGGGATTACAGGCGTGCACCACTGTATCCAGTTAGTGTCTTAGATTCTTCCTGTCTAAAGTTAGATTTTATTTTCCTGTCATTTTACTTCTCCAACCTAATTTGTCTTTTGAGTTGAAAATCCATATGTTCAAATAGTTCAACAATTCCCCAAAGGACTTCCAGAAACATTTGTGAAGTGACAGCCGACAGAGTGATCAACTAGTAAGGCAGCGGCTGTCCCTGTGTCTAAAATAGTGTATCTGAAATATATGCAAGGACCCAAGACTTTTGAAAAACATCACATAATTATTATCACTGCAGTCTTTTTGCACTTCAATCTTAGCTGTCTTTAAGTGTGTTTAAATTGCTATTACTGACTCCTTTCACTTAAGATTCTAAGCAACTGAAACAACTAAATTCCAAAGAAATAATAAAAGGTCCTCAGAGCAGAAGGAAAGTCAGAAGCAGAGTGGGAAAGGATGAACACTCGGTGGTGAGGTCAGGAGGCGAGCATAAAGCTAAAAGCGTAAAGGATGTCTGGGCTTAGATACCTTACTTACTCTTTGTAACTTAAGAGAGGGCACAGAGCGTAAGTGCACTGCAGACTACACAGGCAGGAGACAAAGCCCGGACTCTCACTTGAGAAGGACAATACATAGGAAGGAAAGACGTCCATGATAGGGAGGCAGGGCTAACACAAGCTGATACTCTGATCATTGCAGATGAGAAACAGAATCAGGGAGCCACCCGCTTCCACTGGTTTAGATTAATATCATAATACTATCTGAATTATAAATCTCGTTTCTGTTTTATAAAACGTATTACCATATAGTTTTTTGATTCCTTTCAACTGAACATACAGGTCTCTCACTTTGCTGGGGAGTGAATAAAAAGGGCCAAGGTCATCTGACGGTGACTCAATTGCTTCCTTAACAATGCTGATTTCCTCACATAGGAGAGTCTCTTTGAGCTGTTTACTCCTAGAAATCACTGGGGTTTGGGCCTTGGCATTCCCAGTCATGGCACTTTTGAGACTGTCTTTAATGCTTTTCCTCCTGTTCGTCTCTGAAGAAGTGCTAACGTTAGAGGCGTCGCTATTTTGGCGAGGTTGCTCTACACGGCTACAGGCCAACTCTTCATTCAATGGCTTATGTGAGTTTCCGACTCTTTCCTTAGTAGACTGGTCAGCCAAATCATTTGAAGAGTTCTGCATACTTTCAAAGTATAAAATCTGAGAAGAAGGTACATCAAACCAGAGGTCGTTTCCAGCTTCTGGCCCAACAGGGACACCGACATCACTCTGGCTCTGTACACACTCATTAGTCACAGAGGCAGTCAAGCCGCCTACAGCACTCACACTGAGTTTCTTTCCGATGTCTCCTGCACAGAGAGCTCCGGTGGCCGAGCCTGTAATGTGCTCCCTATGTTCAGGCAGTTGCATGTATTTCTGTTCCAAGTCATCAACTTGAGCTAAAAAGGAATTTTCTGTAAAGCTGTCGTAGTCATTAAACATGTCTTCCTCACTGTCATTTTCCTGAAAGCAAAGAAACATAAATGAATTCCATCTTCATAAAGAGTAAAACACGTTCCAGCGAAGGACTGTCCAAATACATCACTACATGCACATTATCCTCTGAATACGTATTATCATCCCCAGATAAAAGAAACAAGCCCAGAGAGTTGAACTGACTTCCCTAAATAGTACTGCTGGATTATTATGGGATATCAGGATGCTTAAAAATATTTTTTTTTTTTCGAGCTGGGACAGGTTCTCAAATAACAGACTATGCAGTTTTGATCTTTCTGCCTCTATCTCCTGAGTGTATCACCATACTGGGTTTTATGAGGTGCTGAGATCAAATCCAGGGCCTCATTCACGCTAAGTAAGCATTCTACCAACTCAGCTACATCCCCCATGCATGCTTAGTAAGCATTCTACCAACTCAGCTACATCCCCAGCTCAGCCCAAGGGGGAATACTGAAATTCAAAATTATTTATTTATATTGGTGCTGAAGCTGAGCCCAGGGCCTGCCCCAGGCTCACTGCTGAGGCCCCAAACCCAGCCTTTGGGATTTTAAAGCCTGTGTTTAAGCATTAAGGAAGAGAAGAATGGTAGCCATCTCTAAGGTTGTCAGTTGAATAGATGCTCCTGATAACTGCGGTATTTCTGGCCCAAGCACTGAAGTAGAGGCTGGCCTCTTACCACATCATGGTTGTACCACTAGACACTAGAAGGAAATTCTTTTCTGAACTTGGAATTGAGACAAGAGTGTGCATTCATGTAGGGTGGCTTACTCAACAGAAAAAAAGTAATCTGGGAGGTAATATTTATTAGAGTTAGAACTTTAGTTCTCAAGTGCCCAGGACCCAGTTACTAGACAAATGGCTAGTTTAATAAAGTAACCAGCGCGTAACGGATCATCAATAAAAAGTTTCATTAGTAAAGTAGAAACGAGGCACTCGGAAGGCTGGCCTGCCCTGTCAAGCCAGTTACCTGCCCCGCGAGCAGTTTTTACGACAGGGGGTGAGGGGAGTGTCTAGGTTTTACATCCACTTAGAAGTCGGGGCTTTAAGGCAGTGTCTCCCAAGTGCTGGAGAGAATAAGGATAGCAAAGATGAGAAGAGCAAGCGAAGGCCACTCTTCTAGCCGGTCTGCGTGTGCACCTGGGAAGAAAGCGGTTTCAAGCCCGCGCAGCAGTGGCCGGGGCAGGGGACGCGGGGCGGCCCCGCAGCCCTGGGTGATGACGGGACCAGGCTCGGCGGGGAATCGGCAGGGCTGTACCTGCGCGGGCTCCGGGCTCCCGGTTTTCCGTCTGCGGCTCCCGGTTGCCTCTTCCTCCTCCAGGTCCTCCGCGGGCTGGAGCTCGGCCGGGGCGGGGGCGGCAGAGAAGCTCTCTAGGCTGCCCCGGTTTCTTTTGCGGACAGACACCCGCCGGCGGATGCGGGGAGCGCCGTCCTCCATGACAAGGGCCGAGCGACCCTGCGACCCGGCCGCCCTCGGTCCAGACCGGAGCTAGAGTCACCGCTCCGCGGCCGTGACCAGGGTCCTAGCATCAGCTCTGCATCTTTTCGCAGCGGAGCCTGTGTGCCACGTGACTTCCGGCCCCGGGAGCGCGTAAACACAGAGGTGCCGCGCTTGACCTCCTGGCCGTGTTCGCACCGGAACCTTTGCAAAGAGTCTCCGGGGCCAACACGGAAAAAGTACCGGAAGGGACCTGTCGGAGCGCGTAGGGAAGAGGAAAGGAAGGGGAAAGGCGGAGAACCATGGCAGCTATGGCTGCTGTGTGCAGTGCTGTCGGGAGGAAGAGCTTGACAACAAGCCTCACAGATCGCGGAACTTACGCGGGTAAAGTGTCAGGCGTAGCTTTGCAGCCGCAGTCTGGTTCCGATTGTCGATGGCGTCTTTGCTGTTAGCAAAATGACTTTCGATACGGCTAGGTTTAAGATGGGTGGGAAGCTCGAGTCGCTCTAGACTGGTTTCTTAAGAGCTGAAGAGGACTTTGAGACGTAGTCAACTCTTAACTTACATTGTTTGTTCCTGTGCTTTTCTATCGACACTTGAATCTTTTTTATTTTCCCTTTGGAATGACAGTACTTTTCTGTTGCTTCTGTACGTATTTCCATTACAAGCTGGTAACTGAAGAAAGGTTTGAAGTTTTATAGGAGAGGATATATATGTATGTTCTTCATCCAAAGCCTTTGGAATTCCTCATTTCGAACCTATTTTGTCCCAAACTAACAGGACGTTATCACTTAGTAAAGAGAATACGAAACCTGTATTTCATGCCGTGCGGGGGGTGTTTGTTTTCGGACAGGATCTCACTATTTTGTAGCTTTGGCGGTCCTGGAACTCACTGTGTAGACCAGGCTGCCCTTGAACTGACAGAGGTCCACCTGCCTCTGCCTACCAAGTGCTGAGGTTAAAGGTAGTGCACCACCGTGCCCCGAACTACATCATACCTGTTGATTCATCTAGCCTTTTTGAAAATTAAGTGTCTTTGTTAGATATTCAGAGAATGAAAATAATTGTGTCATTGCCATTTCTCTTAAGTTACAGCGCTGTGGAGAAGATGTTGTTCACAGTATAATCAGGTAGCCAGCAATAAGGACCTGGTAAGGACTTTTTATTTTTTAAAGAAAACGTTATTTTATTATTTGTGTGCACATTTTGGGAGGGGAGCTGTGGAAGCCAGAAGAGGGCTTGGGATTCCCTGAAGCTGGAATTAGAGGTGGTTGTGAGCCACTGGATGTTGGGATTCCAACTCCTCTCCTCAGTGAGAGCAGCAAGTGCCTTTAGCCACTGACATCTGGCCAGTCCCAGATTTTTCTTGCTAATTCATATTACTAATTCATTTCCATTAATTCCTAACTCAGCCCAATTTTTTGTATATTTGGATTTTAGCTATAGGACAAAACAAAATAATGGTTACCTTGAATTCGGAAAGTATAACTTACTGACAATAGTCACTTACCTTTTGAAGGTAGGCCTAGATTAGAGTCTTCTGTAATATGTTTTTCTTCCTAAATATTGAATATAATATAATTTGAGAATTTTTAAAGATAGCTTGAGTAGATAGGATAATTGTAGATAACAGAAATTTGGGATGTCACTATCTTTATCTCAATTTTGACAGGGTACCTTGATAAGAGATCTAAATTAAAGTTTTGCATTAGACTATTTAATCAGCTGCTTCTAAGCTGTAGGCATATTTTTATGGGTTTAAAGTTTGGACATGGCTGAGGGTGCCTCATCACACCATATAAGTAGTTAGCTAGAGTTGAGAAGAATATAGCTTGTATCTCAATTGCGTATACATTAGACTGAGAAAATTCAAGGCAAGCTAGATATGGTGGTATACACATTTTGAAATAACACTTAGGAAGCTAAGGCAAGAGGATCTTTTGAGTTGGAGGCCACCCTGGGCTACAGCAACAACAACAAAAAATCACTTTCTGGTCTTTTGGCTAAAATCAAGTGTAAAAAAGAAAGAAAGAAAAGAAATCTTAAGGACCTATTAAATATCAAGGAAGTTGTCTAAACAAATGTATATCCATCTTAGTCATTTAATTCATACATCATACTTTAAAAGAACAAAGGAAATATGCTCTTCTTTTTTAGGTCATGTGACTAATAAGTTTCTATCTTCTCCAGAGGAAAAAATGCACACAATCACACTAATGTATCACAAGTAAGATTATAGATTTCAAAGCCCTTTCTAAATTAAGACCCTGTGCGAGGGTGTGGTGGTACCACCTGTAACCTCAGCATTTGGAAGGCTGATGCAGAAGGCTGCAAGTTTGAGACTACCGTGTGCTACAAAGCAAGCTGTAGTACAGCTGGGGCTACATAGTGAAAACCTATCCAAGAAACACAAGAAACAAACCAGTAATAACAACAATAATAAAATGCACGGAGCAGGAACATAGTAAAGGGACTGTGATGAAAAAAGAGTTTGAAAGGGCAGGGGTATAAAAGAGGTCAGTCATGGAATACATATGTTGTATTAGTTAATCCTATTTTAAAAGCAGAAAAAGGTGTTATTGGGGATGAAGAAGGGAACCAACAGGAGGAGAGGCAGGATGCATAAGAGCAGAAGGTAAAAAGAACAAAGTATAATTACACATCCTTGCACCACACAAACATGTACACAAATGTAATCTCACACAATGAATGCTAACCAAATATTTAAAAGTTTCAAATGTCTATACTGGTGACAACTATTCCTATAAAGGGAGGCACTGTGTCAGAAGCAGCAAGGAGAGAAAAGCCAGAAGGGCCCACAGAGACTTATATAGCAGTCCATAAATGGGATATTAACAACCTTTTGTTGTAGTAAGCCATGGAGCATCATCTATAAAATGAAATAATAAAAAAACACCTTACAGAAAATTTGGGGATGAGTAAATGACTTAGCACATGCATACTTTTAATGAATCTAAAAGAAAATGAATGATAAAATTATATGTATACTAAAGAATTGTCTTAAGATAAATTTTTAATTGAATTAATTTTAAATAGCCTTAGATGCTTTGGTTTTTGCAATCCACACAAAACAACTTTATCAACTTCCTTATCTTGGAAGTCCTTTTTTGCAGAAATGATACTCCATTGCATATTTTTTTACCTGGTAATCTCTCTTTAGCCAGATTAACACATAATAAAATGCTTGTACTAAAAAAAAAAGTAGAAATGGGGCTAGGCGTGGTGGTACACACCTGTAACCCCAGAACTTGGGGAGGCAGAGGCAGGCAGATCTCTGTGAGTTCAAGGCCAGCCTGGTCTACAAAGTGAGTCCAGGACAGCCAAGGCTACACAGAAAAACCCTGCCTCAAAAAACAAAAACAAAACAATAAAGTATAAATGTAGTTGTAGTTTTTAACTTTCCTCAGTCTTAACACATTTTGAGACTTTTTTTTTTTTTTTTAATCCTAGCCAATCCTAATGGAAAACCCCTATAAGGAGCCTCTTAAGAAGTGTGTCTTGTGTGAGAAACGTGTAGATTATAAGAATGTACAGGTGAGCGTTAAGTTTACCACTGATACTTGATTGGGATTTTGCTGTTTGCATTTTCTCAGGTTATGTCACAGTCATTAGGCTGTATGTAGGACAGATTCAGCAACTTCATGATATCAAGTCTTGTTATAACTTCCTGTGTTCTGTCTCTTCAGTATTTCACTATTATTTGGCTTAGTAGTTTGCCTTTTCACTGTTTCTGCACAGTAGCTCACTGCGCATTGACAGACATGAGTGCTTCGGGAAAAGCTCTTCTTGTGACCTTTGCAGTTTACTATCATATGCTATTGCTTTAAATAGTATTTCTCCTTAAACTTTAAGCCAATTAAAAGCAGCAAATTTAGCTAGTCTGTGGTGATGCACGCTTTTAATCCTAGCACTCGGGAAACAGAGGCAGGTGGATTGCTCTCAGTTCTAGGCCAGTGTGGTCTACAGAGTGAGTTCCAGGACAGACATGGCTACACAGAGAAACCCTGTCTGGAAAAACCAAAAGTGAAAGTAACAAATTTGGGGAAAGTGAATGATATTAGAGTTAACTGTTTACATAGTAGTATAAAATGATAGATGTTTGAATGGAAAAAAATTATAAAAACTACATTACAGCAGACGATTGTGGGAAGAACCAAGCACAGTGCCTAGTATCTAGAAAGTGTTATAAAGGATTCAATAAGAGGGAGCTGGAGAGATGGCTAAGAACACTGGCTGTTCTTTCAAAGGTCCTGAGTTCAATTCCCAGCAACCACATGGTTACTCACACCATCTATAATGAGATCTGGTGCCCTCTTCTGTCATGCAGGTATACATGCAGGCAGAACACTGTATAATTAATAAATAAATCTAAAACACACACACACCCAGAAGAAATTAAATGCCCCAGTCTGTCTCCAAGTAGCTCAGTGATAGCCTGTCATGCTGGAGAGTGCTGCAGTAAATGGCTGTGAGCAGCAGTGTGTTAGATGCCCTTGGGAGTCGGTAGCCACAGGGCAGGTTATCTGATTCATGTTACTTGACCATGTGACGTTTTTGATACACTTTTCAAAAGATGCCTTGTTGCTACAGGGTGTTTCCTTTCATGTTATTTTGTCTGAAATGTATTAAATGTTGACTTAACTTGGTTTATAATTTTTTTTTTAATTTACACACTCTAGGTTGAATAACAAATATACTAATAGTACTTTTTCCTCCAAACATAACCCAACAGCTTCTGTCCCAGTTTATTTCTCCATTCACTGGACGCATTTACGGAAGGCACATAACAGGTACCTTTTTTATCATAGAAAATTACATGTATATAAGAATCACATTGTTTCTGTTATTTCAGGAGACTGGCAAGTCTTCAAATCATGCCAAATCACTATTAAACCTGCTGCCACAGGGACTGAAGTGAGGTCTTTGGGGAGAGTTTTCTGTAGTGCAAGGAAATATTGCCTTTACTCACACTTAGCTACAGGGTAACAACATACAGAAATTTGGAAAACTGTATCTTGGGACTGGAGTTAAGTCCGCAGCACCGTAATCAGGTAGCTCGTAAGCACTTGTAAATCCAGCTCCTGGGAATACAGCGCATCTGGCTTCTGTAGGCATCTGCACTCAATAAAAATTAATAAAACTAAATTTATTTTAAAATGACGATCTCTAGACTAAAACTTAAGTGTCAGCAACTGGCAGTTGTATCGAAACTGAAATTTGTTTTTTTTTTTTTTTCCTCTTCTTATGTAGGGCCACATGGTTGTCATTAAGTTGTAATAACAGAATTGAGTGTATGAGAGACCAAAGAACCCACAAATGATTTACTTTGCTAGTTCTTCACAGGAAAAACAAAAACAAACAAACAAACAAACAAAAACTTGTACATGTAGCATTAGCATTTTCTGATGTATAAGAAAGCACCTCTAATCTTTGCACAGGTCTTTGTGGAAAGAAACAGAAAGAAATAACAAAGGCCATTAAGAGAGCTCAGAAAATGGGTAAGTGTACCTGCACAATGGAATTGATCTAAAATTTTGCTCATTGTCTTTGTCAAGAACTTTAATTATCTCTTTACAGGATTTATGCCAGTGACATACAAGGATCCTGCGTATCTCAAAGACCCTAAAGTTTGTAACATCAGATACCGGGAATAAATTTTGTAAAGTTACTGTCAATAAACGTGTAATTGCTTGTCAACACTGCCCCAAACTAACTTGAGAAGAAATGCCCTCTCTACACCAGTGAGTGTTATCTGGACACTATGCTTACAATGGTAGTTGCATTGTTCACTTGGGTAACATGGGTGCCACAGTCTATTTATGTAGGACCTGAGCCTGATTCTCTTCTTAAAGATGCTTTTAGGGGAATGGTTGTAAAAAGGCAGTGTTCTAATCCCATGGGACTGGCTGTGGAGTTAAACTTGCTTGGAGTCATTTTGGTTTTTTGTTCGTGTATGCACATGTGCACAGGATTTTTTGGAAACCAGAGGTTGATATTAAGGTCTTCCTCAATGTATCTCCAACTTTCTGTATACAAAAATGACTCATTTCTTTCTGTGCCAAAATGAGGGCACATGTGGAGGTCAGAGGTCCATGTGCAAGCACTGGCTCTCTCCCCTCAGCACAAGTCTCCAGGCTTGTCAAGTATTTCAGCCCACAGGACCATCTTGCTGGCCCATTCACCTTATGTTTTGAGATGGTCTCACCAAATCTGGAGTTCACTTAGGCTAGAACAGCTGACTGACATACCCAAGGAGCCTCTTACCTCTGCATCTTGGTGCTGGACTCCATGTGCATAGTGCTGTGCTCAAGTACAGACAAAACTGTGCTTGGCATGAGTCTGAGAGCAACTTGTGAAACCAGGTGGTCAGGCTTGTGCAGCACTTTACCCCAAGCCCTCACACTTATGTGTCACTTCGCTGGCCTGAGGTATCTCCTGGGCTTGGGGAGTCATTTTCTCAGTAGTAAATGTTAACCGACTGAGGGTTCTCTCTGCAGAATGTGTGCTGGGATTGATACCGGCCAGTCTATCCTGGCCCAGGAATACAGAGTAGTCCTTACACGAAGGCATGGCACAGTCACAGTCTTTCAGACATCTGTGATGTGAGTAGAATGTATTGATAGCTGGGGCTCTCCTTTCCCTGCCCTGCGCACAGGACCAGTTAGATCATCAGTAATTTGTACAGATCACCCTGGGTACTAGGTGACTTCAGAAGTACCCCATATAATTAGTGCATGTCACTGCTAGATGTAATTATGTCTTACGTAGCTTCTCTGGGAAGCAAGTGGAAGAACAAGGGAAGAGTGAACTTGTTAACATCTGCTTAGTGAAACATAATGGAACCCTGTATGTACACTTGACATACAGATGACAAAGACAAGTACATCTACAAAGACAGTTTGCTGATTCTGCGAGGGGGACAGATTTCCCAATTCCTGAGCTTCCCAGGGAGCTGGGAACTGCACACAGATGCATAACCATGTCCACCTTAATGTACTGTCATCACTGTACGGGTGGTCTATTTTTTAAGATTTATTTTTATTTGTTTTTCTGTGTGCACGCACATGAATGCTCTTGGAGGCCACAAGAGGACACTGGATCACCTAGAACTACCTAATGTGGACACTGGGAAACAAACTCTAGTCCTCTGGAAGTGCTTCAAGCACTCTTAATTTCTGGGCTCTCTCTTCAGTAAAAATCTTAAAAACTTAGATAAAAATAAGGTTTTACAAACTTTTAAATTTTATTACATTTATGAGGGTTTCGTGTATATGCCAAAGTTTTTATGTGTGGAAGTCAGAAGAACTTGCGGGAGTCAGTTCTTTCTTTCCACCACGGGAATTCCAGAAATCCAACCATATTGCCAGTCTTGATAGAAGATGCCTGTGCTAATTGAGCCAACTCCCAGGACCAATTATACAAACTTCTGGGCTGCTTTCCATGTTGTGAAATGAGGCTAGTTTCTCTTTCCCAACTTGAAGAATGTAAGTTAGAAGAATGCATCTATTTAAGTCTCTCCTTCAACAGTTCGAGGGGAAGCTGAAAGGTTGTGGCTTTGAAATAAAAGCATCTTAGCTGGGTAGGTGGATATTTATGAGTTTGAGGACAGCCAGTGCTACACAGAGAGACCCTGTCTCAACCTCCCCTACTCCCCCCCTCAAAAAAATAAAAATAAAAACAAGGCAAATCAAAAATACCAAAGGGACGGTAGCTCGGTGGTAGAGAAGTTGCTTACCACTTGTATGGCCCTGGATTCAACTGCCCAAGACACACACAGAACACTTTTTTTTTTTTTGGGAGACAGGGTTTCTCTTTGTAGCCTTGGCTTTCCTAGACACACCTTGTAGACCATGCTGACCTTGAACTCACAGAGATCTGCCTGCCTTTGCCTTCTTGAGTGCTGGGATTACAGGCATGTGCCACTGTGCCCAGGTAAACCCCTCTATTTTTAAAAAGTACTTTATATGTGAACAGACAGAGGCCAAAACATTAGAAAGGGGTCAATGAGGTGGGTGGGAAAACAATTTACAGGGGTGAGAAGCAACAGAGATATGAGACATAAAGGAGGATTGGAGAACTACTGGAAGCAGAAGGCACAGTGAGGGAGGCTGGGAAATGAGGACAGTTGCAACTGATCTGAGCATATACGCATTTACAACATATGAAACGTAAATAATTAAGATACTTTATAGAACATTAACTTACCTACATATTATAAACAGTTGGACAGTAAAATACCTTATCCACGCATTATGAACAGCTGAACAGAGTAAAAACATAGTGTCAATGTATTACTCCAGTAGGCCACGGGTGAAATAGAAACAAGTGACCTGAACCTCCTCAGTCTATGACAAAATTTCATCCAAAAAGATTCAGAATGTGGGAGAGCGGGGATATTCACCATCATCTTCTGTGCTCCCCATCTCTGTGTCTGTATCTAGGCTGCCTGAGGAGGCTTTGTCTGGGTGGCTGCTGCAGGACTCCCTCCCAGGTCTGCTCTCTGACTCAAGCAGCCGAGGTTTCTTCCCAGGCCGCTGGCCTTGGGTGTCTGCACCTTTCCGCTTACTCAGCTGGGCTGCAGGCACTGGACTAGCTTCAGGGCTGTAAACGTACTCCACCATTAAGGTCAGCTTATCCACCACATCAAGATGGTGGCTATCGTTACACCCACTTTGAGAAATATGTCTATTTTTCAAAGAAATAACACAAGAATGAAGGACTTCCGACTCTGGAAAAAGGGTTCGTAGAGCTTGACAAAGAAGAACGTTCTCCTGGGGGTTGTTCTGGACATTCTTCTCTCCTAAAGGAAATGAGAAAGAGCTTTGCACAGGTTTGTCTCAAAATCTCTCACAATTAGCTGTGTTGGTAAATCAAGGATTCCAAGAGATACCTATGTGCCATACTATTCATGAGAAAGTCAGTCTCTCACTTTCTTACCAAACACAGCACAGCCACTCTAGTACCCTGTTCACTGTTGGGAAGATCTCAGACCACAGAGTGGCCTCTACTTGTCATCCCTGTATATCAGGGCATTGGGTGGGGTGGTGCCTTGTCTACTGAGCCAGAATGAAAAAAGCAAAGACAGTCTGCTGTGTTCGTGTGCTGCTCACCTGCTGCTTTAATCGGTGCTTGCTGTTTTTTTCTAACTTCTTTTAATTGGTTTATATCCATCATTAGTTTCTCTACTTCTCGTTCACTTTGTTCAACTTTCTGGCATACACTCTGCAAAATAAAATAAGGGCACAGATAAAAAATTCCAAGTTTTGTACTAATGAGAACCTAGGCTTACAATATAAAATTCTCAGCGTTACAGAAAGTAAAATAACATGTCTTTCATGTAAACCTTATTTTTTATTTGGAATTATTTTTGGAGGACTATAAAGTATTTTATGTTGCTTTGTAGATAATTACATGCTTTTTGGATGTGTTAATTTTCCATTTATCTGTGGACTTACATACCAGATATTTCACTGGTTATAGAAGTAAGATAAAATTAATTTTGAAATTAAAAAATATAAACATATTGGACTGAGGATCAAACTCAGTGGTAAAGCACTTACTAGCATGTGTGAGCCCTGAGTTCAAGTCCCAACATGTATACCTCCAAACAGAACTGAGATGCATAACTGACTTAGGTTGTAGAGGCAGGATTAGCAATTAAAGGTTATCCTTATCTACAGGGGAGTTCAAAGCCAACCTGGGCTACACAAAAGCCTGTGTCATAACATCAAAAAACAAAACATGCCAGGCATGGTGGCACATTCCTGTAATCCCAGCACTCAGGGAGGGAAAGATAGGCAGATCTCTGTGAGTTTTAGGCCAGCCTGGTCTACAAAGGTCCAGGACAGCCAGGGCTACACAAAGAAACCCTGTCTCAAAAACAAAACAAATAAACAACAACAACAAAAAACCAAGGAAGTCTCAGGCACGATGGCACATTCCTGTCATCCCCATACTCAGGTGAGAGCAGACTTATAAATCAAGATTATGCTCAGGTCAGCTTTCTTGGAATGGGACAATCTGAGGCTGTTCCTCACCAACTGTTCTCTCCATCTCTCAGGGGCCAGAGTCTGTAATCCTCAATCTCATCCCCTTCATTTTAAACTGGCCCAAACACTTTCTTGCACTTGGGTTTCATCTTATTACTACACAGTGACCTGCACTGAAACAGCAAGACAGACTGTAATGCTGTAGTGATGGCTGTGCTTCTAAATATCTGCTTCCCTCATCATTAGACAAAAAGACTATGGGGGCTCGGCCTGGTAGCACACGCCTTTAATCCCAACATATGGGAGTCAGAGACAGGAGAATCACTATGAGTTCAAGGCCAGCTTGGCCTACATAGCAAGTCCCAGAATAGCCAGGGCTTATAGTGAGACCATTAAAAAAAGAAAGAAAAGAAATAATTATAGGTGTGATATAAAGAAAGCAAAATTGAACTATCCACCAGAGGTTGCAGTCTCCATTGGGGCAGTCAAAGGAAAACAATTTATACCCATCAAATGTCGATTTTTCTTTCCTTTTTAAAGATTTATTTATTTTGTCTGCATCAGTGTTTTTGCCTGTCTGTCTGTCTGTGTGAGGGCGTCAGATCCCCAGGAAATGGAATTACAGACAGTTTGAACTGCCATGTTGGTGCTGGGAATTGAACCCAGGTCCTCTGGAAGAGCCAGCAGCCAGTACTCTTACCCACTGAG